GATGTAGTAAGTTTGCTATTTACTGAATGCTTTCCCTGTACTTAAAGTCTGTTCAATCCCACAGCAACTCTTAGAAGTGAGAGTTATCACATGAGGTAACTCAAGGCCCCCACAGGCAACCCATAAGGTTGCAAAGCCTCCACATGGCCTTTCCAGGAAGGGGCATGGGTTTCCTGACCTTCCGTCCAGTGCTCTTGCTCTGGTTCAGTCCTGGGAGTGCTGCTCTCCTGACCTGGACCTCCGCGCGTGGCTTTCCTTGGGATCCTGGCCAAGCTTGGCCTTGTCTGTGGGATTCCCCAGGTGGTGTCGGGCGAGTTCAGCGAGGACAGCGAGGTGTACAACTTCACACTGCACGCGGGCGACGAGCTCACCCTCATGGGCCAGGCGGAAATTCTGTGCGCCAAGACCACCAAGGAGCGCTCGCGCTTTACCACGCTGCTGCGCAAGCTGGGCCGCGCCGGGGCGCTGGCCGGGGTGGGCAGTCCGGGGAGCGCGGGAGCTGCGGGCGGCGGTGGGGGTGCCAGGCCCATCAAAGGCAAGATGCCCTGCCTCATCTGCATGAATCACCGCACCAACGAGAGCCTGAGCCTGCCTTTCCAGTGCCAGGGCCGCTTCAGTACGCGCAGCCCGCTGGAGCTGCAGATGCAGGAGGGCGAGCACACAGTGCGCGCCATCATCGAGCGCGTGCGGCTGCCAGTGAACGTCCTGGTGCCCAGCCGGCCGCCGCGAAACCCCTACGACCTGCACCCGGTACGGGAAGGCCACTGCTACAAGCTGGTCAGCATCATCTCCAAGACCGTGGTGCTGGGGCTGGCGCTGCGCCGGGAAGGCCCGGCGCCTCTGCACTTCTTGCTGCTCACTGACACCCCGCGCTTCGCGCTGCCGCAGGGCCTGCTGGCCGGGGACCCGCGTGTCGAGCGTCTGGTGCGCGACAGCGCCTCCTACTGCCGGGAGCGCTTCGACCCGGACGAATACTCCACAGCCGTGCGCGAGGCGCCCGCCGAGCTCACCGACGACTGCGCCAGCCCGCGCCGCGCGCGCCTCTGCCTGCCTGCGCCGCGCGCCCCGGGGCCCGCGCGTGCATTCGGCCCGCCCCTACCCGCGCCCTCCACTGACCGCGACCAGGAGGAGTACGTGAGCCCGGACTGGGCAGGTGTGCCCGAGCCCGCCGCGCCGCCCGCCGAGATCCCCTATGAGGAGCTGTGGGCGCATCAGGCTCCCGAGAGCCTCGCGGAGGGCCGCGCCCGGCCGCCCCCAGGGCCAGACCTCATCTGTTTTGGAGCCGCGGGGTCTCCGCGTTGCGAGCCGGAAGCGCCGCCGCCTCCCGTCCCTCCCAAATCAGAGGCGGTGAGTGAGCCTCCTGGGACTGAGGAAGGTGCTGCCAGGAGGGCAGCTTCGTAGCTGTATCCTCAAAGGAGGCTGCTGAGCTTTTCATGATGACCCTGGAGTGCGTGACAGAGGGTGACAAAGGAGTGCGGGGAAGGGAGAAAAAGACAAAAACACTCAAGAGTATTTGTAGGAAGGGATACCAGGGGACGTGTTATGGGAGGTGTGGGAGCAAAGGTGCCAGCAGGCCCCCAACCTCAGAGATTTTGGGCTTGTCTGGAAAGTGTCACCTGGAAGCTTCCGGAATCCTTTAAGTCATTTAGTAAAAAGAAGGTCCTGTGGTGAAATAAGTTCAGAAAATGTTGAGTGTGATTCTTAGCCTTCATCTCTTTGCTTGAGAGTCACAGAGTGGTGGCATATTAAAGGCTCTGAAAAGTCCTGCATTAAGGAAACTTGATTGTTTCTTTTTAAAAGAAACCTTCATTTTACATTTTTTAAATGTTTATTTTTTAGTTGTAGTTGGACACAGTACCTTTAGTTTATTTATTTATCTTTATGAGGTGCTGAAGATCCAACCCAGAGTTTCCCACGTGTGAGGCGAGAGCTCTACTGCTGAGCCACAACCCCAGTCCCTCATTTTAAATTTCTTAAAAATATATTTTTAAGATGTTGGTTGATGGGCCTTTATTTCTATTCATTTATTTATATGCAGTGCTAAGAATCGAACCCAGTACCTCACACATGCTAGGCAAGTGCTCTACTACTGAGCCACAACTCCAGCCCCAAGAAACCTGTTTAATACAGAGTTTCCAAAGCTTAATTGTCCACAGGACATTTTCCCTACCCATAATTCCATTAACATCCCAGGAAGTATTTGATCTATAAGAAAGCATAGGGAGGTGCTTTACCTATAAAGAAGGGATCCAGATGGCAGTGACTTTTGCTTACCTTTGTTTCCTCTATCACACAGTTTTCCTCTTTTTCTTGAGAAAGGAATATGTCTGTTTATCTTTCCTTTTTTTTTTTTTTAATCTACTTACAGGGGAATAGGTGTGTACTGTGGCAAAAGTGTGTGGATGAAATAGGCTGGGGTGGTGAGTGGCTGGGTGGGTAGTTGGGGTGTCTGGCAAGGCAGCCTCTTGGCAAACCTGGGCAAAGTGTCAGTCCCAGACAACCCTCTCTCAGCTACTTGGAAAAGGGAAGTTATGGGGTGTCAGTTGCCTGTGACAGTGGAGTCATGGCTCTCTGCCTACAGGTGAAAGAGGAGTGCCGCCTCCTGAATGCACCCCCTGTGCCTCCCCGGGGTGGCAGTGGCCGGCTCTCAGGCAGCCCCCCTGTGCCGCCCCGCTTCCCCAAGCTGCAGCCTGTCCACTCACCCAGCTCCAGCCTTTCCTACTATTCCTCCGGCCTCCAGGATGGGTGAGTCCCTCCCTTCTCCTGGTTCCTGGGTTCTCCTAGGGTGCATCAAGGGAGGGGAGGTGGGGAGTGCTGAGAAAAGGTAGGAGGTGTGGCTTGTGCCCTGCCCTGTCTTCCTCCCTCTGCTCCTTTCCTTCCTAAGTGAGGAGGAGGGTTTGAGAGCAAGACTCTGGTTCTTTCCTGGGACTCCTGCAGGAGTGCTCCTGGCTAGTTTTCAAATTTTACTTAATTTAAATTTCCCACCTGTGTTTTCTGTGTCGGGGATGCTGGAAGAAAGAACAGGGCAGTCCCAGAGGCCTCAGCCTGGGGGCTGGTGTGCTGGCAGGACGTGGGAATGACTGACAGCTGTGGTCTGCTGCCTTGTGTGTGACCCCTTCCTTATTGCCTTGCTCTGCCTTATGTGTTTTATGTGTCGTGTCTCTGCTACAGCACGGGTTCCCGCAATGGCAGTGGCTCCCCGTCACCAGATGCCTACTCCCTCTATTGCTACCCTTGCACCTGGGGAGATTGCAAGGTGGGCGAGTCCTCCAGCCGCCCACCCCCAGGTCCTCTGCCCTCCACAACCACACAGCCCAGCCAGGCCTCTAGGGCCCTTGCAGAGCCCCTGAGTGGTCGAGCCCCCTCCCTTTTGGGGGCTGACACCCCAGTCAAGACCTACCATGGCTGTCCACCCCTGTTCAAGCCCTCCCACTCCCAGAGACGCTTTGCTCCCTTAGGAGCTCCCAACCCCTTCTCAGGGCCCACCTACTCAACAGGCCCTCCTGCCGCTTCTTCTGGGCCCACAACCTCCTCCAGTGCCTTGGCTACCTCCAGCCCTGTACATTCCCCAGGCCCAGCCTCCCCTGGCCAGGCCTATTCAGCTGCTCCTCCCTCTTCTCCCTCATCCTCTGAGTGGCAAGAACCAGCCCTGGAGCCCCTGGATCCCTTCGAGCTAGGGCAGAGCAGTTCTCCAGAGCTCGGTTTGCTGCGCTGTCAGGAGCCCAGAGTCATGGGGGCATCTGGACCTGGACCCTGCCTTTCGCCACTTGGTCCCCCTAAAGCCTTTGAGCCAGAAGGTTTGGTGCTGAGGCAGGTCCCTGCCTCACTGTCACCAGCTGCTCTGCAGGGGCCTGAGGCAGGAGGAGCCCGACTCTTTCTTACCCCAGGGCGGATGGAGGGTCCTCCTGCCAGTCCCCGGGATGGAGCCTCAGGCTTTGGAGGCCGGGATGCTCCCTCCTGGCAGCCCCCTGCAGACCTATCTGCGCTCTCCCTGGAGGAGGTCTCTCGCAGTCTGCGCTTCATTGGGCTCTCTGAGGACGTGGTGAGCTTCTTTGCCCGAGAGCGTATTGATGGAAGCATCTTTGTGCAGCTCAGTGAGGACATCCTGGCCGACGACTTCCACCTCACCAAGCTGCAGGTCAAGAAGATCATGCAGTTCATCAAAGGCTGGAGGCCCAAGATATGAACTGCCCTGCCAGTCACTGCACTATTGGAATGCTGGCTCCGAGGCTCTGGGGACTAGTCGTGGGTCTGCCAGGGACAGAGCACTCTGAGAGGCAGGACCTGCCTGTGGGAGAATCTTTCCAAGACTAAGACTGATTGGCAGCACTCAGAGTTATCAGGAGAGACACTTTGGCTGGTCTTCTGGGCTCAGATCCCTGCAAGGGGACATCTTGCCTTTGTGCAGAGTATATGGGGAGGGGGTTGGAAGCACACCATGTACTAGACCTGGTGAAGCATTTGCTGTGATTTTTAGTGGGGAGGATGGTGGTGTGTCAAGAGGTGGCCTTCACAGTGATGGGACACCTTCCCCTGCTCGGCAGCAATCCTTCACAATTACATGCTTCTCAAACCTGTAGGTTCAGGTTAGAGAGAAGGGAAGATGGCCCATAATTTAAGCACAAATGCCCCAAGTGCCCGCTCTCCTATGTGCTCTGTGGGTTTCTGGCCTGTGGCTGACCCAGAGTTAGGGGTGCGATTTGTGTCTCTAGGATGCCCTTCCTTCTCTTTGCTTTCCCATGATAGAGGTGCCTGGCCCTGAGCATAGGTTCAAGTACAAGCCTGTGTCACAGCACCTCAGAGGCTCCACCCCTGGGTTCCTGTTCTGGGTGACAACTTAGGTCGGGCGCAGCTCTGTTGTTTTCCTATCTAGTTAGGGAGGCAGGTGTTCTCCAGTGCTTTCTAGCCCCAGCTCCTGCTCCTCACCACAGCCAGCCATCCGTCTTGTCAGGTAGACTTGTCTCTGAAGACTGCTTTGTGGAAGAGCAGGTGGATTTTGGTCAGCTGCTCCTTCTTTCTAGAGGCAAGCAGTGGTCAACCACCCCACATTCCTGCCAGTCTCCTGCCCCCAGCATTGGGCTCTGATGGACATTTAGTGTCCTTCCCTGGTTTTCTGTCACTGGCATAGGAAGTTAGTTAGGTGAGAGAAAGGAGGGTAGCTTTGGAAAACCTGCCTTTCACTCCTCCTGCTCGCCTTCATGTACTTCAGAGCAGATCTTTACACCGTTCGCTCTAGAGCCTGGTGACCTCCTTGGTTCCAGACCTCTGGGTCACTGTGTACAAGCCCATGCCACCAACTTCACTGTCACCACAATCTGAAGCACACTACTCCTAATGTTCACTGGGTCAGGGCCCATAGGTGGTAGCCTTCTTTTCTGCCTTACTGAGTCTGCCTAGATATTTATTTCCTGGGTTTCTTTTTATGGGTAGGTAAGCCATGCTGCTGCCCCTTCTGAGGGAGGGAAGTCAGAAAAGAGCACAGGAACAGAGACATTTGGTTTTCTCACAGATTGTTTTCATGAATCCTCAAGGACTAGTGAAATAAATGCTAGGCCCCTGGAGATTAGTGCAAGTGGAATTCTGGGTGTCAACAGCTTTCTTTTGGAGGGTCACAATGACCAATGGGCACCATGTACATGCCTCCAGGCAGGAGATGGCTTTGGGATGGTGTGTGGATGTAGTCTATTCATATGTCCCCAGAGGCAGCTGGCAGCAGCCTTTACTCCCTTTTGCAAGCACCTCACCGGCTGCTGCCCTACAAGAACCCGCCAACTCCTACTGATTGGACATAATTTACACCCACCTGGTGCTATTGATGGAAAAGACCCAGATGTCAAATCTGGGCTCAAGTTTATCTTTTTGCATTATAGGCGTCTGAGGCTCTCAGATCCCCACACACAGAAAGCTGTTCATGGGCTAGATGGCACACACCTGTAATTCCAGCAACTTGGGAGGCTGAGGCAGGAGGATCTCAAGTTCAAAGCCAGCATCAGCGACTTAGTAATAAATTATAAAAAGGGCTGGGGATGTGGCTCAGTGGTTAAGTGCCCCTGCGTTTGATCCCTGGTGCCAAAAAAAGAAAAGAATAAGAAACCTATTCAAGGCCTTGGTACAGAGGATCAATTCTGTCTTCTACTGGTCATCCAGAAATCCCAACTCAAGAGATAACTGTTGTATGGTTTGCCTTCCTAGCAAATAGCAACCAGTATTTAATAGAGTTGAAGCTAAACTTTATACTTGCCAGTCCCAACACCTGAGCTGGGACTAGGGAAATGCTTTAAGTACTTGCAAATGGAGCAGAGTGGGCAGTATCTGAGTTTAGAATGCACCGAGTGTTATGGGACTTGAATTAGGATTCCGCACACATTTGGTAACTCAGTGTGGATCTTTCTGCCAGACCCAGTTAGGAGCCCAACACTGTTTATCCAACTGGGTACTACTGCCAGAACACAAGTGTGAGAACCCAGCATACCAGGGCCGGGGGTGGGGAGAGATGAGGTGATAGCAATGGGGGAGGCTGCGGTCTCTGCTGCTTCTCGGCCACCTCTCACCTCCATGCAGGCATCTTTCATCTTCCCTGGTGTGGGCCAGCACATGCAGGACTCCTGCATTGGAGAAATGTCGTCTCCTCTGTTTAACTCTGACATTGCCACAAACATACTGAGAAGCAATCATGCATGAGGCCTACCAGGAAAGGAAACGGGTACCAGCATATGGTGAGGAGATCCAGTATGTGGAAAGTCATACCTTTTGTATCCTGGCACACCATTCCTCTTATAATTCTGCTGCTCTCAGTACCCAGGGTCATTTCCCCTGTGAGCAGCCCTGCCAAAGCATTTAAGCAGTTAAGCTTAAATGGCTGTGGGCACAAAAAGTCCCACTTTCTGGTATCACAGTCTCTCTCAAGCAGATGCCCAGAACTCCCCCAATATCCTCCTACTCCAAAGGGACAGGGCTTTATTCCAGCTCATGTCTTCAAGAAGGGCTTGAGCCAGAAGGGCAAAGACACAAGAAAAAGAACCAAACCAAGCGGGTGATAGTTCGGTTTTTACTGTTGTTCTGTTGGGCTGGGTACAGAAATGCCCTCGCCACCACTAGCCACCACTGGCCTCCTGGGAGGAACAGGCAACAAAAGTGGCTCTGGATGGCTCTTAGCTGCTGATATGGGCTTCAGGGTTTAGAAAAGGAGCACAGTGGGTTCCACTTTCCAATATGAAGTACAAACTCTAATTCATAGCCAGACTTCACCAGGAAGGAGATGGTCAGAGCTGAAGGCACTTTAATTAAGGAGCAAACTCAAGGCCAGGCTTGGTTTTCCTTCTGCTTCCTGATACACCCAGATGGCACTTTTGAAGCAGTGCTGCTGGCAGCTGGGTTAGTGCACTGATGGAGCAGGGTGGGAGGGCCTGCTCACTGGTAGAACTTCTTACTGGGACTGTTGGCGTGGTCAATGAGCAGCTGGCATGGGGTGAACTGTTTTCCATAGGCAGCTTCATACTTCCGGAGCCGGTCCACTATCTTCTGAGCACCATATAGATCCACAAAACGGAAGGGACCTGGACAGAGAAACAGGACTTTATTGAAAGAAGCAGCAATGAGAGCACCAGGATGAAGGGAGACTTGCCAGCCCGCAGACGAACCTCCGAGACAAGGGGGGAAGCCAAGGCCAAAGACTGCTCCGATGTCTCCCTCTGCAGGTGTGGCCAAGATCCCGTCCTGTAGGCACAGCACTGCTTCATTCACAAATCTTGTCACCACACGGTACTGGATGTCTTCATCAGAGGAGCTGCCAACATGAAGAGACAGTTAGGAAGAGGAACAGGGAGGCAAGCCGAGCTGGGGTTGAGTACGAAGTGTGGGTGGGTGCTGGGAGCCCTGTGGCCAGGCAGGACCAAACCTCTCATTCTGCAGAGAAGTCAGCCTGGGAGGCCCAGGCTTTCCCTTGGAAAAAAGGGGTGTTACTTGTCCTAAGTGATATGAAACTGAGCACCCATGAGGGTCTGGCACAAGAGGATAATCAAGTGCTCACAAGTGATAATCAAGAGCTGGGAGGAAAGCCTGTGCCAGCTTCAGGAGCGTTCTCCTGGTTCAGGTGAGCGTAAGGGAAATAGAACAGGGGCCAGGAAGCTTTGGGCTGTCAGAAATATATGTTTCCTTGCCCTGAGCCACTCAAACTGACTTACACCTCAGGCTTAGCAGGAAGCCTCAGACTTGCAAAAATAGTATCCATGTCAGAATTCAAACTCTTATTCTTCGAACCCTCCTGATAAATGTAAAAGCCTTTCCCAGATTTGCGACCTAAAAGAAGAAAAGAAGAGGCAGCATCACCACTTGTTCTCCCAGCCCTGGCCACGAGTGCCTGTCTCTGCTACCTGCTGTAAAGCTCCAGTCTTTTCCCTGCATCCAGCTCACCCTGAAATTCTTTCTTTATCAGAAGAGCTGACAGAGAAGGAAGGAAGATCTTGTGATTTCTGGAGCTTGGAAATCTGTATCTGCTTGAAAAGGCTGCTCAGGTGAGCTTTCATGTCCAGATACATAACAGCAGGCCCCAGGAGGCAAAGCCTAACAGAGATTTTGCTATTTCCACAGATGTAGCAGAGGTAGAACAGAAATGCATCTTGGACCTGGTAGCGGCAAAGACCTAGAAGTCTAGACCTTTTTTTTGGTGGTACTGGGGATTGATGCTCTACCACTGAGCTATATCCTCAACCCTTTTTATTTTGAGACAGGGTCTTGCTAAGCTGTCTGGGCTGGTTTTGAATTTGTAATCCTCCTCCCTCAGCCTCCGAAAGCTGCTGAAATTACAGATGTGCACCACCATATCTGGCTTTCTCTCTGTCTTTTGTCTGTACCTAGGTGCCCAGGAAATCATTTTTGAAACTCCCTATGACCAGGCTTGAGTGTTTAAGAAACACTCTTCCTTGTGGGCCTTCTGTGATTCCGTGTTCTCAAGATCATGCTGAGAACTAATGGTGCCAGTCATGTTTTCTTGTGCCTACTCACCCAGGAAGCCCTTGGACACCATCTGGTTCAGCAGCTCTGGGCTTCCACCTCCAAACCGCTCCCCAAAGGCTTTGCCCAGATCTTCTGCCACATGTTTTGCTACATCCACACCAACTTCATCTGCCAGGGTAGCAGCACCCACAGGAAAGCCAAAGCCTGTGGTCAGGGAATCCAGCTTCTTAGGGTCAACTCCTTCCTGAATAGGAAGTGAAGCAGGGGCCTCAGGGAAAGGCCATCTCAGATCCTTCCCCAACACACACAGAAGGACTCCTCTGGCTAGCCCCAGGCATAGCCTTGTGCAAAATTTCTCTGGGTTTTACCTGGCTATGCCCAGGACTGGCACTCCATGCAGGGAAGCACAGGTGGAAAGTGTGCAACTTCTTGATCTATAGCACTTGAAGGAAGTTTAGAGATGAACAAATTATCTACTTCCTTCCATGTTTGCAATTCTGAATCTCAATACTAAGAAGATGCAATAGGTGACAAGGCTGAGAGCACCATGACTGTAAAATACATCAGTATTGCCAAGGAGCAGTGCTGCAGAGTGCTGAGATTCCTGTTTGGGCAAGTGTCTAAGGGAGCAGAGTTCAAACTCTGCCCATTTACTGTGGCCTACATGACTTCCACTTCTGCACAGAGACGGTGGGTACAAAAGGGCCCGAAGAAGCGGCAGGAGTTAGCGTACTCAGAGGAGCCTTGTACCTCCTGTTGACATCTTCAGTTTGGAGACCTGAGTGAAGGAGTGGAAGAGGCCTCAAATGCTCCACAAAGTAATACCCACCTGGAGGATTCGTATGACTTCAGACATCATGGGTGCAAGACACCTGGTGGTGTAGAAGCCAGGTCCATCCTGCAAGGGAAAGAAGGTGAACTCATTGTCTGCTTTTGACTGGAACTACTCATGTCCAAGAAGTCTTGCTTTCCCAGCTGTGATTTCAAAGTTTAAGGGAATTTAAAATCTCAATGAGAGTCCTTAATATTAAATTGCAAAGAAAGTTATTCTGGGATAGTCTGGCACAACGAATTGTTTCATGGTCACCTTCAAGGCCTGGAATGAGTGGGAGGATCCTGTCATATTCCAGAAACAACCAAGGGGACAGCATTATCTGAAACTGCTATATTTGCTCCAGAAAACAGTTATCCAGTCTGGAGGTATAGGGAGTCCTTTTAGAACTTTCAAATGTGTTGTAAAATCCCAGCTCCTCACCTTGACCACAATGATGACCTTCCCTTGCTTGAGACCAACTGCTACAGCAGAAGCAGTTGTGTCCTTGGATGTTTTCTCTGTTGTGATGATCTCTAGTAGCTGCATCTTGTCCACAGGAGAAAAGTAGTGCATACCAATCACCTGGCAAAGACAGCCAAAGCCAATAGATCTACAAATGCTGAGGAGGGAACCTGACACCTTCATTTTTTGTTAGAAAAATAATGGAGGGAAAGGTGAATGTGATAAGGAATACTGCTGACAGTTAAGTCATGTAGTTCCATGGATTTCTGATGAGAGGTACAGTATGTTTAAGGTGAGCTAACCAGAATCCTCCTCTTCCATTTGTTTCTAAGGATATTTGTGTCTAC